GGGGGTAGTGAAGCTGTTGACGGGCCAGGTGTGCTTGCCACGGAATCGGCCGATGGCAGAGAGTCGCGGCCCATCATTGAGCCAGCAGTCACTGGTGTGTAAGGCGTAAAGGCGTTTTGGTTCATTGGCGGTAGAGGTGGGATGCCAATGGGCTGAGGAGGTGGTGCCGCAGTTGTTCTCGCTCCAGTGTTCATCAGACCTCGCGGGATGTACTGGGCAGGTTGTCTCGGAGATGTGGCAGAGGAGACTGAAGATGAGTCGTACGACCTGGTGGAGGGATTAGGAGATCGTGGATATGGGTTGTGCGACGACGCAGCCATGGCGGAGCGCGGTTCAACGGACCAGTGCTCGTGAGTCTGGTTCAAAGAAGACTCCACAGGCTCCCCTAGTCGGTGGGCGGTGGGCAAACGGCGCTCCACGAACATACAGACGGTTTGTCGAGTCCTGCGGTTGGAAGGCTGCCGTACTGGACCCAACACACAGTTAAGTATCCCGAGGAAACTCTTTGGTGCGCAATACGGTATCCTCCGGGAGAGCGAGTGCCGTGTTCTACAGGTTGAGCCTTCCCAAGATTCGTATCTCTTCGCGTCCGGGCAACGAGGGCACAGCGGTTATCTTTGGCGATGTTGAAGCGTACCCGTTGTGCTGTAGCTCTGTGTGACCCAAAGCCGGCTAGATTCCTAACGTCCAATGACTTGCTTGTCTGAGCTCCGCCTTCCGAGTACAGGACTGCAGAGTAGACAAGAAAGAGGCCCGGCTGCCGTGCTGTCTGATACAACTGTCGAAGATGCTAACACCAAGTGGCATCTGTTACGCAGCAGCTTGATTAGCGTGTAGACTCTTCGTGATCCGTCGAGAGGATGCCAGCTTATATGATATATGCAAGCAGCGAGCAAGATGCTAAGCAGGCGTAGTCAAAACGAAAGAGGGCGGCGTGGGGTCGTGGAGGATGGAAGCCGGTAGGGGAAACAAGCACCAGATGTAGGTTGCGCGGAGGGTAGAGAGATGTAAAGAATGGCAAGCTGTGTGGCTCTGCGGGATGGTGGCAGAAATGTTAAAGACTAATAGCAAGCGGCGTCTGGTCGGAGCAACGAGGAAGCGGGTAAGGTAGACGGACAAGGGAGGCTAGGCAAGGCAAGGTATGGTGGTCTTGGGCCGTCATGTCACTCGACGGGTACAACACCGCCGGAGGTTTTAGTGACGATGGTTTGCGGTGCCCTCGAGGCTTTAGTTCTGGACTGGATCCGGGGCTCTCCGCGCCATGAAAGCAGAATCGGAAATATTATCTCTGGAGAGTGGTGGAGGGCTGGACGAGATCCTTGCTGCCGCTGGGCCCAGGAAGCAAGGAGGAAGAACAGGGCTGTGGAAGATGCTCATCAACCAAAGTAACTAACGTGTTTCGACCGGAGAGTGGGCGCTGCTGGGATGCCAGGGTCCCGGTTCAAGAGAGCAGGGGGTCCAGGAACCTCGGACAAGTCACCAGGAAACCCCATGATCCCTGCCTTCAAGCGTCGACACCAAGGATTGGTGATGGCGAATCGGCAACAGCTTCGAAAATAAGGTCGCTGTGCCGCGACTCAATGGCATTTCCCGTCGAACAAGCCCACTTGGACTCGGCTGGGGTGCTTTTCTCAACCTCTTGCGCAGGAGGCAGGGGGGGCCAATGTGAACCGTGAACGTTGATGGTCCCCAAGACAAGGATTCGGGTTCAAAGGGGGCTAATAAGTTGATATGGCTTGACTTGTATGATCGTGGGTACCACGCGTCGAGCTCCCTCGTCGGGAATTTTGCAACAGGTGGGCCGTACCAAGACAGGAGAAGCCGCTATAGATCCTGATCCAAAAGAAAACGGGCTCTGGGATGGAGGAGGCACGTACGTATGTGGGTGAAATTTGCCCTTATGCAACCCTCACCCACGCTTAGAGGGGGGGGAACTTGGGAAGAGGAGAGAGGGCTTCAAGGTAAGATGCAAAGGGTGTTGGGGTACAATGTGGATGGATGCAATGAGCCCGTCGTTGGTTCGGCTGGTTTGCTAAGGTAAAATCTGCAGGAAACTCTTCCGCTTCTGCACTCGGTTGCAGGAGACTTGTTGTTGGAGGCTTGGAGCTGTTGAGAATCGACCGGCATTCTTTCGGGTTGTACCACTGACACTTTGGTGCTGTGGGCTGAGGGCGACTATTTTGGGACATGATGTGCATCGAAAAATCCTCCCAGCAATCTTTGCAGCAGCGTGCAGATGGGCCAACTTGGTCCAGGTCCTTTTCATTCTCCTCTTTGCATATGTCCCTCGTCTCGCCATCATCTTCTCTGTCTTATGAGGCCAGGCTGGATGGAGACAGCGCCGCAACAGAACAGCCGACAAACGAGCCGACCATAACCAGCCCGGGCGATGGACGTGCGCTTGATGAGAAGGGGCCGCTAAGCCGTTCGTCGGGAGCTATCGAACAATGATCATCGGGGGGTTTCGCTGCTACTGGCCGCGATGAGACTACGAGTCGATTGGGTGTTTGGGCAGGCATGGCCTTGGCCACGCAACCGCGTCCCGATCTTGTCATAAAATCTGGCATAAGGTAATGTCCGTGGCTGTGCTAACTAACGGTCGAGGTTCAGGGCGGGCGACTAGCCGATACCCGGGCCGGGTGAAGATGGGGTGCTGGCGATATGGACAGGAACAAGGACATATTCCGGCTCCAGACGGGGGGAAACGAGACAAATGAAACATGTGGCATACGCACCAAACTTAATGATTGACTTTGAGGCAAGCTTCTGTGTTCCAGACCGTTTTGCTAAGCTGCTGTTGATGAACGTCGGAATGTTTGCGGGCTACGAGGTGGTGTTCCGTGTCGACGTAGCGGCTTGTCCGCGGATTTCTGCAACGGCCAAGCACGTGGTGCATCTATTACTGACACCAAGAGGCAATAAGCATATCTCAGTGACAGGACAAATCCCCGACTGACGTTTGATCTCTCCGAAGAACAACGTCGATGGACTGGCGCAGACAAGGTAAGAGTAAGGTACAACCAACCGGCTGCTGCTCAGTGCTGGAGGGTTTCTCAAACGCGAGGCGTTGGAAGGCTTTGAAAGCCCTGTGTCAAGGGAAAGGCTTGGTATCCGAACTGGGGTCCTCGCACTGCCTTGTGGTGCTGGTCGTACTTGTCGTGCTTGTCGAATGCCTGTCGACCAATTCGAGACTCTTCTCCGGGCTGTTGGCTAGGGGCTGAGATTGGCCGGGGGGGCTTCGTAGGAGCGGGAATCTGCACGTTGCCGCAAAAGATTACGGCCGGCTGTGCCCACCGGCCACGCAACAGGCGTGATGTTGCAAGGGTCTGGTGAGCTCGTTGCTGCTAGTGGCAGGGTGGAATGTGACGGATTTGACAGGCCCAAGGCCGACGGAACCGCTATGCGGCAACAAATGGGCTTCCTTCCAAAAATCTGTTCGCCTACGTTCCTTTCCCAGGGCAAGATCGACCAGCCAGCACCGGAACTGGAGGAGATGTATTGCAGTCTATTCAAGGTGGTCTTGACTCTGTATCTCGTAAAGAGAGAGCTGGGATCCAGACTTGAGCTGCGAGAGCGGCCCAGTATGTCTCGGCGTGTTAGTCAATGTCGGGTCCTTTCAGGGGAGCGCTTTTCCTGAGCTGACTGGAGGGGTCTTGAGTTAGGATTTGGGGCCACCGAAGTAGAACGTGTCAGGATTCGGGAGTCCCAGGACTGAAGGAGAATCGAACCTAACGACAAGGACCAGAGAGACGAGACCAGCTGTTGTGGAAAACTTGCAGAGTATTGTCCCTGCTGCGGCAGGCTGCGGTCGATGTGTGAAGGCAGCAAGGCTTGGCTAATCCGGCCTGCTGGTGCTGTATGCCTGGATGTTGCTTGGCGATGTCAAGTGAGAAACCTTCAGAGAATGACAAGATTCGGGACCAGTGTGATAATGCGTAAGGGTCAGGGGTGGTAGAGGCTGACGGGGAGAAGCATGAAGATGCCCGTGATATGATGGTCGTCGTAAGGTGGGTAGCGGCAATAATGATCCCCAATTCCAGGAGAGAAGGTATAGCTGGTGAGATATGATTTTCTGGAAGGTAATGCAAAACAAGTCTGATGGGTTTGTAACGCATCTAAGCCTTGATCCTCGACTAAGAGACACGAAGCTGAGAGACTCGAGACTCGGGGGGTAGGCCAGTGAGAAAGTACCATCACCGTGATATTAAGGCCAGCGCCCGACAAATAAGCTCTACACTTTTCTTTGCCTGAATTGTAAGCCAACGAGGGAGGCAAAATACGGATACATCAAAGCAGTGACCGCCTGGTGCAAGAGACGCAACTGACCGGCCAGCGATCCCACGCACCAACGCGCCGGGGCCGGGACGGATCAGCATTTCCTGTGGTTGAGTCATCCCTGCACCGGGGTGTGGGTGAGCTTCTGTGCACCTGGCCAGTGTCTGTGTCTTGTCGTCCTGTCTTCTTTCTATCAAGGAGCCGATCAAACGCCGTCGGAAAGGGGAAGGTCAAAAGTAACAGACGGTACTAAGAATAAGCCATCGCTGGCGAGGGGAACGCTGAAAGTTGAGCTGGTATACCTCACACTACATCGTTCATCCTGCCGCAAGTGACAAGTGGCAGATGGAGATCAATGTTGGTGGAAAACCCCGCAAGCTCAAGTTATCAGCTTGGACTTGAAAGTTGGAGCGGCCATGTGCGCCAGGGCCTCTCGAGGTTCTTTCCTGGGCCAGCATTTCGGACACCGTCCGTTACGTGAGGCACGAGGCAAAGACATGGCTTGCCGCTTGTCAATACCTGCGAGTCTGCGGCGGCGCGACGGCGGTGGTTTGCCTGTGCGCCAAAGAGGGCGTGGATGTCTTGGTTGCGCGGGACGGGTGGTTCCCCAGGGCCTAAAAGCAACTGCGGTTTGGAGCGTCAAAGTCTTGTAAGTACCTGTGGCCCTGTGCCCGGCAGGACGTGGTCGACAATGGCGTCAAGAAATCTGCGAGATTGGAATGACGCTAGCTCATCCCCCCCCCCCCCCGGCTACGTGGTGGCCTGGTCCACATGCTTGGGATGTTGGGGCCGTGGAGCAAGGCGGTGCTAGGAGTTTGAGGAGATGGACTCGAGTCAAGGTTGGAACTGTATTGTCTAGGGTCAGGGTCCTTATCCTTGGCCGGTCTGTTCCTGTCCCCGTCTGTTCCTAAAGGGAAAAACATCGGCGGGGAATCGGGACGGCCAGGATCCCGGGCAGGGATGTGAAAAGTAGTGAGAAGTTCAAGGTCCGTAAAACTCCAGAAGCCTGTGTGGCCTTTGTATGTGTCTTGATGTGATGATACTGATGACAACGTCTGTGCCGAAACTACCATCCCCAGTTGGAGTTGCCAATGTGGCGCTGCATTAGCCTCGCGCAAGCAAGTAACGGGCAATGTGAACAGATGAGAGAGAGGCATACGAAAGATGGGATAAGACAATGCTCATGAGTTATTCTCAATACTAGTAGTTTTGCACAGTCGCTTCATGTTCGTGTGATATCGACCGCATTTGGCCAGGTTAAGTTGTGCTGCGTGCACCTCGCCTCTCAAGTAATGTCTCTAAAGGTAGGTATCGAATAACAACGTATCTGAGTGCAAATTACGGCATTATTCTAGATTGTGGTTGTGGTTTCGAACTAAACCGCTGGTAGCTTCTAGGGTGCCAGGTAGGTTCCGGGCCGTGAGACATTCTCGATTTTTCATGTCTGATGAAAAGAATGGGCGGCAGCAATCCAAGGCGGGAGGGGGAAACTCAGCCGTTCTACCGGCGGCGTCGGCCGGGTAGAGGGCGGCAGACCAAACGGACCTCCACAGCGGGCTGGTTGAGTTCCGCCCACAAGTGTGTGGGGCAGCGACCGGGATACGCAAACTCGCTTGGAGAAAACTGGTGAGTCGTGACGAGGTAACCGAAGCTAGACTTGGGCATCAACCGTTCGAGTTCAAGCTTCTTTCCTAGCGGCATCACCTTGATGCCGAAGCTGTACGAACTATGGTTGGCTTGACCGATGGACGGTGCTTAGTCGTTGACGAAAAGTGATGGGCACGGTGACGTGACAGCCCGATGTCATTGGAGAAACACCAAGGGTGGGAGCCTGGGAGGCGAGCGAGAGACGAGCCCCAAAGCCACCGGGCACTGGGGTAAAGACTGTCTGCACTAAAGTTAGTTGTATTTCGTACACAACTTGGTGCGGACACCATAGTGCCACCACTGCCATGGCATGTGCAGCTGCTCATCGCATCGCCAGTAACAGAATCAGGGGTTATAGCGGTTGCCAGGACCAGGCCTTGACTCCGAGTTCCGAGCTGTTGCACGGGAGGGTGTTGAGCCGTGGCGCCGTCCCTTTTGGTGTATGGATGTCGCGTGTACAATGGAGATGGCGCGCTGTGTCTCGCGGGAAGGGGGCGGCACTCTCCCTGCAGAGGCGCTAGATAGGTATTGGACAGCTCTATTCTGTGTGGCTGACGGTGGAACAGAGAGAGAGAGAGAGAGAGAGGCTTCGACGGTCGACGTAGAGCATACGCTCCAGAGTAAGGTTGGTTGGTGGCACACTGGCAGTTCTCAACTTGTGTGAAAGGTCCTGCCATGGAGCTTGTCTTGTGCTACCTAGTTAGTTCGAGCTTGTTAGTTCGTTCCCGGCAGTTTCAAGAGCGTCTCCGGCAGGCTTCTTCACTGTGGCTGACTGCCAGTTCTGGAGTCCAAGGTTTTCAAAAGCTTAGGATAGGGCGGTCAGACAGACGCAGTTTTGCTCATCAGCGTTCATCTGAGGAGGGATAAAGTTGAGAGTCTCAGTCCGAATGTCCCGCATGTGAATAGAAAGTAAAGCGGGAGCCAAGCTCGTCTGACAGTCGCAGGTTCCATAGTGCCCGGGCTGAGGTGGTTGACTTGAGAGTATGTCAAGAATAGCAACAACCAAAAAGTCATTTGGTGATTGCTTGTTTTGATTAATCGGGTGAAATCATGCCATTCCCAAACGAGAAACGACGAGTCGGAGAATTGAAGGGATTGACTATGGCCCCTTTGGAACAGACGAGAAAAGCGCAGACGTGAAGTTGTGAGCCTGATGAGGAGGCGGAAAGCTCAGACTTGGACGCCGTGCAGTGATAACGGTAAGCTCTGCGGTGATCCGGTGTGCTGGCGTGGAGGAAAGAGTTTTCTCTCCCACACACCCCCTCGGGACCCCTTCTCTACATACATTTGCCTCTTAGTCGTTGGGAACAGAGCTTCTAACCACATGTTTCTGTTCGGTATAGATGCCTATTGCGCGTGCACTGGGGATAAGGCGGCAAAGAAACAAGTGACATCCATGCTGGTAGACCCTTGTTAGTCGAGCAGAGTTTGTCCCCCTCTCGGCCCCAAGCGATGGTGGTGGTGTTGGTGTCGATGGTGAAGAAGGTGGTTGCGGGTTGAGGAGGGAACGAGATGGTGGTGCTAGGAATAGCACGGCATGCCCCGTGCCGGGCGAAGTACGGGATAACAACTCAAGTATCGATTCGTCGAGGCTTGTTGCCCCCTTGGATTCGTTTGGGTCATTGGACCCCCTCAGTCTATTGTCATGATTCGACTTCCCTGATGGACAGGAGTGACTCGAGCGTTGGTACGATTACTGGAGCATAACTGCGTATCCGTGAGGGCAGAGGAAGGGAGGGACTCGCAATATCGAGGCTGGAAGCTGGATGCTGGATGCTTGCTGCTGGGTGATGCCGGGATGGAGAGCAAATTTGCGTCGGCTACGTTGGCCGTAGTGTGGCAGCATGGAGTATCCGCAGCTCGCACAAACAGGTCGGCATTTGGTTGAATGAGGAGCAGGGAGGCTTGATGCAAGTGGGATGAAGATGGACAAGATCGGCGCCTCGTGGATAGTAAGAGATGGGCCAGAACTGAGCGCCGGGAATTTGAAGAGGCACCAAGGGTTGGTAAGGTGTGAGGAGTGGTGGTTGAGTTTGGTGAGTGCTTGTCAGAGTCAGAGGGAATTGCCCGCCCGTCTCCTGTCTACCTCAGGTACTTCACAGTAGGTACTCCTGTCTGCCACTCCTTCCCCCACTCCGCGTCCCGATTGAGGAGGACGGAGTACGTACTTCTCAAGGCTCAGGGTCGCTGTCACCCTGCCCGAATGCCTAAGATCCCCTGGCACTTGCCCTGAGCTGAGTCCCTGAGTGACGCCTGAGGCCTTAGGCAAGAAGTGAGACGATGGAAAAGAGGGGCGAGTGCGCGATGGGAGACTTGGGTAAAGATACGTATCTCACCGCGATACTTGGGTTGGAGTCCGAATGGGAATACTCCGTACCGGTACGGAGTATAGAACTGGAAGGAGAGCGTCCTTGGGTGGACGGGTGGACGGGATGATGTACTTCCGAGTCCAATATCTGATGAGAAGGAAGGTAGGTACCTTACCTACCTACCTTTGAACCTCTCACTGTACCTTCCTTGCATTCCAACCGCAAGGAAGCACTTTGATGGTAATTCTCTTTGCGCGTTCTTCCTCCTCCTCCTTCACTGAACAATTACAGGCGTCAGACCATGGCTATAGTAGTCCGCTGTGGGCAACAACGATGAATTGCAATGTTGCAACGCTGCAATAATGGCCTGAGGTACGGTTGCAGAGAAGGGAATGTACCTTGCATGTGTGTGAGCCGTGGTATCCAGGCACGGAATACTGCTTCCATCGATGAGATTGACTGTGAGATCGGCGCCTGGAGCCAATGGAGCTCGGCAGACGGCACTTGCTTAATCTCCTGAGCCTTATGCGCCAATGGATCAAGGTCCATTGGCTCGACGGTGGTCCTCTGGTATCTGACAGGCGTACCCGTATTGTAGGGTCCTCATCGACTTCAGCCGTCTTTCCATGATCCCAGGGGCCAGGACACCGGTGACCGGTGCCGGAGTCGTGCAAGGCTAAGCAGCCAGGTGAAGGGGGAGGGTGTCGTGGACTTGTGGGTGCTTTGCAGTGTCAGAATTTGTCTGTCTGCCCGGCGTGATTGCTTGAGATGAGGTCTCCAAAGGGCCACCGAGGCACCTACCTACCTTACCTTACGTATACGCACACAATTAAGAAGTGAGCCACTTCGGAGGTGAGGGACCTGACGGCATATTAGGTAAGGTAAGGCATCTCAGACAGTACGGAGTACATGGCTACTGTGTAAGGTAGTCCCACAAAATGGAAAGACTCCAACAGTTCACTCTTTCCTACCGAAGTAAACTTGGAGGCTTGAGGTGGAGTGTTCCTTCTCTACCTAATAGAGGAAGGACATGGAGCAGCTGCCAGGAACCTATCTGAGCTACGTACCTTGCCTTGGAGTCTGGACGAGAGTCTGGATTACGTACGCCACTAACCCCGAAACAGACTAGACACCAGGCTCTGACAGGGAGGTCCTCCGATGTGCCTCCGTATCCATCCCCAATCCGCAATCCACAACAGCTCCACGTTGTATACGTACCCGGTCTCGTTTCTTGACAACTTCAGACTTCCATGACTTCGACCTCTCACTATCAATCCACAAAGTCAACCCCGACCCTAGACGAAGCAAAAGCTGGAGCCGGACTTATGCACCTTGACCCGGCGGAACTTGGGTCTGGACGCTAGATGCATGCTGAAGCTACATTCGAAATGGACTGGCTGACTGGATCCCGATTCCCGGCTGCTCGCTTTGAGCCCATTCTTTCTTTCTGCCAGATCCCACATCCCTCAGCGGTACAGTCATCAACCTTCTTCAAAGTCCAACCTCTCTACGCAGTATTCCTCCAACGGGCCCTTTCAACTAAGTGTACGGATACCCATGTGGGCACTTCTTCATCCTCTCCAATTCTCGCAGTCCCTGGACACTTGCGACCGCACTTTGCACATACACACGGCCACATTTCCGGGTCCCACATAGTGTTGAACCAGACTCGGCAAACCTCTCCGTAGCAACTTGCATTCATATCGACATCAAGCCACGGTTCGTTGTTAGCTCAGCATGTTTTCCCCAAGTCGAGAATCAGGGGGAGGCTACATGTTAAGATACCTTACCTGCTCCAGAACAACTTAGATGCGACACATATGCCGGAAGCACAGCCGAACCCTGAGTTTTGAGCCGTTGACTTGTAGGCCGTCGATCTGCGACGTAGCTACGCAAGACAAACCTACGAGGACCACTTGGCACTTGCTCCGAGTCCGACGAGTCTCGAACCCACACCATGCTAGACCTTCTACTTGGCTCGATATTCCGCCTAGACCAGAACCTCTCTCACCATTGCCGCTGCTTCGCTTTCTGCCCACTCTAACTTGCTCGATACGATGCATGTGTCTGTCGTTTTCCTTTCCAGGACCTAGCAATCTCTCAACCTGCGGCTTGGGATCTGCATTGGCGATTCAGAGACGTGCATCAATCCCTTGACCATAGCTGGCAGCATCGATCTCTTTCCAAGGTCTACGAAGCCGGCAGGTCCCATAGGTTGCAAATCACAAGATACCACGGTAGCAAGCTCATGGATCATGCCTAGCCCCATGGCCCCCTCTCCGTTGCATGCCAACGTTCGCATCCCTCAGACAAAACGGATGCAGTACGGATGCAGTACGGATACATCGCACTCTATGAATTCATACAGAAGCCGATGGGCGAGCGGGCGGGCGAGCCACCCGACTATTTCAACGGCCTCGACTGAACACAATCAGCCTTTTCCCAATCGCCTGGCCTGCCGAAGCAATCAGCCCGCACGCCCGCTCTTATCCATTGGGATTTGAAGTGCCGGCTGCACATCAGTTTTGCACCGCATGCCGCACTGGGATGGCTGGAAAGCCACTGCTGCAACCCACGCATCTTTCTCCAGATCGTCAGCGGACAGCTCTAGCACCGAACGCCGCTGTAAGTCCGACATAAACTACTGGGCAACTCGCCCAACTGCCTTCGAAGGCACTCACACAACGCAGTGAAGGTATCCGCACACCCACAGTTTCACGCCACGCTACTCCGTACAGCACCTTGTTTCTGCACTCTCGCCCTACTTCTGCCGATCCAGGAGCCGTCGGCCCCACGCCGCCCACTATGGCTTGTTCCCGATATCCGTCTTCTCGGGGTCTTTGAGAATCTATTAGTACGGATACTCGCAAGTGTGATGATGGCTGGACTGCTTCACCATCATGCGGGAATTCTTGGCACATCTCACAGTACGGTTGAGCAATACGCATATCATTCCTCCCGGCTCGCCACGTTCATCTGGTTTTAGCAACCAAAGCCTCGGATGGATCCTTTGTCAACTGGGCATGCCAGGCAAGAATCAGCGAAAGGGGGGGGGGGGGGTTCCGCCAGCCGGGGATTTTGATGACGACCGCCTCCTGGGCTAGTGGCAGTGCTACCAAGCCCGCAGATTGACAAGTTCATGTCTACAGGCCACTCGACTCGAGGGATTCCGTCCCCGTACCTCCTGATCAGTCGGCAGCATCCGGATGTTCCCAAAGGCCATCAAAGTGGCTCCATCGAGAATCATGTTCTCGCAATGTCACAACCACCCAATTTCCCCGAATCATGTCCCACAAGTTCCGTTCCTGACGGAGAACACGCACGGATGTCGCTCGCCAGGGGAAACACCGCCGGGGGGTTCATCAGCGCTAGTGCCCTGGGTGACAGGGCCACAGGATGGCCAGGCCTGGCCTGGCCTCGAACCGTTGACAGCGAATCCACGAACAGGCAACGTCCCAATGTCATCTTGCGGCTTGCCATGGCCCGCGGGCCTTGTACATGAAGATTTCGCTGCTCGCTACTCCGATTCGAAGCCCTTCGAGTTCGGCCAGATGCCCGGGGTTATATCTGCGACGGCCAAGATCCCGCTTGGAGACCGTGGATACTGGAAACTAACCAGGCTCGGCTTCTCCAACATGCCATTGTCAAATTAAGCTGGCGCTACGGATACCTGCTAAGGTTACGGCCTAGTGTCCACTGTCCACCGTTGGAAGAGCATTTCAGCGAGTGGCCTGCCCAACTGTCCAACAGCATTCCTTCGGCTTGAGCCCCGAGAGCGGCTGGTCTTTGCATGGCTCTAGCAGGCCGCCCCAGCAGAAAACATCGAAATCGCTGCCGATGGCCCGAAATTTCCTCCGACACGCTCGCCAGGACTCCCACGTCCCTTGTTTCTTTTCCGACTTTCTGCCAGACTGCCACGCTTCTGACGTAGCATTGGGCTCCGTCACGGCAGAGTAGCCTCGCAACCATCATGTCAAAGACTCCATACGGGCACGGAGTACGGAAGCACTACTCTGTACGTACACAATACACAGTAGACTGCGGCTGGGCTTGTTGCCCTCAGTTGCTGTCTGCTTTACACTCTTAGCCCCCCCGTCATCTAGATATGCCTGCGTATTTTCCAACGATCCATGTCTCAATGCATCGTGACACCTGGGCACTTTGCTCGGTCAGCCAGCCGAGGGTGAGCAAGCCGACGCGACCAATGGTAGGGCCTCAAACCTCCGGGTGATAGTCGATATCATCGTCGTTGCGCAAGATTTGATCTCGCCAACCGCGTCTTCCCGCCCTGGAACGCTCCGCATCCGCCATCATGTGTCGAGAACTGGTCGATTGCCCCGGGCCCGGTGAGGCCCTGTCCTTGTCAAAATATGCTCCTGCAGCACGCAGTGCGCTATTGCACAGGCTTACGAGCTAGATGAGCTGGGAGGGAGGATGGAGGAGACTACCTTAGCCTGCAGTATGTGAGTGAGTGCGTCCCTAGCCTCTCCTGGGAAAAGTCGTGCCGCGAGAGACGATCCCTCCCCCTCCTGATGGCCTTCTCAAGAGGGCCACCACTCGCGTGGGCCGGGGATGCATCCATTAGCACGCCGCATCCCACTTCCCGAAGCCCATGCGCCCGGTCAGGTTGCGTGTACGTTTCTGCCGTGTACCACGGTACACAACGGCCAACCACACGCTCTTCACCTCCACGACAAGCAAACACATGAAGTAAAGGAGGTTTCCGACCCCTTGGCTTGCTTAGTTGGCCTTGTACTGTGGCCTTGTGGCGCATACGACCGCACACAAAGAAGATGAGACTCGCAATGATGTTGTGGTATTACTGCGCCGCACAACGGCCAGCGTCGGTCGACTGCGCGATGGGAAAACCCAGGCACAAGTGACTCCCACGTCAGGAAGAATAGACCATCCCACATGTTGCGGGTACTTGGTACATACAAATATCACATTGGCGTGGTCGGACCCGGTTACTACCCCACAGGTCCGCATCAACAATTGCATCTCAGAGGTTGTATTCACAAACATCGATATCCCTTCTGTTCATTCTCAACGATTCCCTTCAACCATCCAACGGACCGAAGCTGATGTCTAGGCTCGAGGTTCTCTTGGGACAGGGGTAAAAAGTATGGACATTGCTCGATTGTAAGAGTCAACGAGTCGCTGTCTCCAGCTTCACTTGGAAGATAAGGTGTTCTATTCATCCTTGTCAGCACCACATACGTCTTTCCTCTGTCGTAGGTCGCCGTGCCACCGAATGGTTACCAAGGGTCCAATAGTTGCGAATGACGATTGGCGCAACTCCCGGAGAAGTCGCCGCTTCTTAGGCTGGTTGTTCGGCCACTCTCATTCACGTCCTCTACATACCTCGGAGGTTCGCAACTTGGCTAGCTTTCCCGAACCATGGTAGAGGGCTGCGTGACGAAAGCGCAGATCAGTGGCAGACGGTAACACGACAGGTGGTCGCGTACATGGTGCGGGTGTACTGTACAGAAGCAGATTGGATCCATTTCACGACTCGCAGCATTCCGGCCGGGACGGTATGTTTGCAGCAATGTAACGCGATCCCCGAGTCGTACAGCACCTCTTCAACAGATCGCCGCCATTGATTCAGTGTCAATCGCAGACAAGAGGATTTGCCTGACCGGGGCCATGGGTACTGCAAGCATGCCGGGGGTCAAAGGACAAGCCCATGTCAGCAAGGTTACAGTATCGTGTCAATCGCTTCAAGGCCAGAACTCTTCCATGGGAGAATGGGGACGACGATGGCGTTGCCGACGTCTGCCACACGTCCGCGTTTGTGCACACGACCGACAGTTATCATTTGGACTCGGTAGGGACTACAGAGTACGCAGTATGGTCACGATAGGATCCTCCTCGACCACGCCATTCCTTGTCAGCCCCTTGGTCAACATTGGCTCTTGGTGCCGCGGATTAAGAGCATAAGCTATAACCAGGACTTTTATCCTAAACGAGCCGTGGAGCCGACGCATCTGATCACAACCGAATGCCGAATCTGCGGATAGGTGAGATCGGCTCCGCACTTTTTCACACGAATATTAATAGCCAAGCTTTGGAGTTTGGTTTTTGACGGATTTCCGCCGTCGAGTCAACCATCAGTAGACGGCCACCAGTCTGCTGTGATGTTGAACTGATTCGCAACATGAATCAACT